TTCCCTCCCCTTCCCTCCCCTTCCCTCCAACGGTGGGAAAGCAGGCCCCGCTTGTATTGGTGCTTCAAGCCCTGAAGCCCAAGTTTAAAAGCCCCAAACAGCCCAGCCGGTGTGGCCCAGTGGTTGAGTGTGGACCCATAAACCAAAGTTCGCCTGCTCTATTCCCAGTTGGGGCAAATGCACAGATTGAAGGCCCAATCCCCAGTGGGTGGCATGCAGGAGGCAGCCAATCAATGTTTCTCTCTCATCAATGTTTCTATCGCTCCATCCCTCTAAAAATCAATAAAAACATACATTCATACAGACACACATAAAAGCCCAAAATAACAAGGTGCATGTGACTGTATCCACAATCAGACTCCAACCTGGAGAAGCCCATCTCTGCCCCGTGCCAGGCCCCCTTCCCATCCCCAGATCTTGATTCCTCTGGCCCGAGAGCCCTAAGGGCATGTGCTTCCCCCAGGACGAATGAGTGGGCAGGAGAGGGGAAGCTGGGGCATCTGCTCTGCCAGGCTCAGGAAGCACTCCCCCGCCCAGTGCTCAAGCCTCCTAGCAGAAGTATGGGAAGTATGGCTACCCACCCAAGGCCACCCGGCCAGCCAGTGGCCGAGCTGGGACAGGACCCCTGGACTGCCTCTTGTACCAGCAGCTGCTCTTTCTACTGGGCCACCAGATGGCGGGGCTCTCACAGCACCTGGGATGGGGACTTCCGTGACTAGGGCACAGGAAGGGCCCTGCATCTACAGGTCGCTGCTCCACCCACCTCCCTCTTCCCTCTCCTCCCACGGCTGCAGGGGAAGGAGGCTGAGACTGCAATCACCTCTTCCCTCTCTGCCATCATGAATTCCCTGCTCCCCTGCCCCCTTGAAGCAGAGACTTCTAAGGAGAAAATAGGGCAGAGGCTCTAACGGGAAATGTAAAGGGAACGGAACATTTCTAGCCGATGCCTTTATATGAAATAACTTCCACACCAGCAAGGGGCTTCTCCGGAGGGAATGGAAGGGGGCAGCTCATCTCTGCTTCACTTACACTCATCGCTCCCCAGCCGGGATGGTAGGGGGGCTACTATGGCCAGAATTTTAAGGAAGATCCGGCACGTCGCTTCTGAGAGACTCATTTTCCCAGCTGTCAAACGGGGGTAGCGATAGTTCCCTATCTTATTTGGTTGTTGTGAAGAATAAATAAGGTGACACGGATAAAAAGCTTTTAAAAACACACACACACAGTTTTTAAATTGATTTCAGAGAAGAAGGGAGAGGGAGAGAGAGATAGAAACATCAATGATGAAAGAGAATCATTGATTGGCTGCCTCCTGAAGGCCCCACACTGGGGATGGAGCTCGCAACCAGGGCATGTGCCCTGATCTGGAATCGAACCGTGACCTCCTGGTTCATAGGTCGATGCTCAACCACTGAGCCATGCCAGCTGGACATAAAATGCTTTTCAGCTGAGTATCTGGTTAGCAGTAAGTATGCCATAAATATTAGGTCTTGTTATAAATAAACTCGTCACTATTTTTTATCAGCCCTAAATTGATTATTTGGCTCATAAGACAGCAGCGGTACAGAAGACTGGTGCCTCACTCTAGTACAGCGGTTCTCAACCTGTGGGTCGCGACCCCTTTGGCGGTCGAATGACCCTTTCACAGGGGTCGCCTAAGACCATCCTGCATATCAGATATTTACATTACGATTCATAACAGTAGCAACATTACAGTTATGAAGTAGCAACGAAAATAATTTTATGGTTGGGTCACAACATGAGGAACTACTGTATTTGGGCCAGAAGGTTGAGAACCACTGCTCTAGTAGGAGAAACAGAAACCTCGCCGGCTGGAGGGCCCAGCTAAAGAAACAGAAGACAGCGGCAGCACCAGCGCCGAGCCCACAGTCCAGGAACCGTGGGCCTCTGCCTGGGGTTGGCATCTTTTACTTGCAGCATCCTCAGCTTAACTTCCGGGCGGAGAACATATACGCCACCCTCCTAGACAGGGCTTCAGCCCCAAGCCCCTGCCCTGGGGGCTGTGCTGGACCACAAGCGGTGCCCAAGAATCGCCCTGACCATCTCCCTCCAAACCTACAGAAGGAAGAACAAGGCCCAGGAAGCCCCTCCAACCTGTTTCCTCCAGGGAGGAGCCTCTTCGTATTTAAAACCATCTCAAGCCACGCGCACTAAGACTACCCCATCCGTTGGTTTGGTTGCTTTTCTACCGCCAAGGAAAGAGGGGGCTTTTTTTAGGTATATTGTTTTTATTTATTTCAGAGAGGAATGCCAAGGAAAGAGGGGTTTTTTTTTTGTTTTGTTTTGTTTGTTTTTAGGTATATTGTTTTTATTTATTTCAGAGAGGAAGGGAGAGAGAGAAACATCAATGATAAGAGAGAATCATTGATGGCTGCTTCCTGCACAGCCCCCCACTGGGGATCGAGCCCACAACCTGGGCATGTGCCCTGACCGGGAATCGAACCATGACCTCCTGCTTCATAGGTCGACACTTAACACTGACCAACACTGGCCAGACGGAAAGAGGGAGTTTTAAAGGAGGTAGCAGTGGTTGGGACGTCTGGGGTGGAGAAGCCGGGCAGGTTGTAGCCCAGGGAGCTTTCTTTCTCTGTTTCTAGATGATCTGAGGGGCCTGGGAGTAATCGCTCAAAGACTGTGGGAGCCGGGAAGAGAAAGGGGAGGAAAGCAGACCCCGCGACAGAAGAGCAGGTCGGGGCGCATGGGCAGGTAAGATATCGTGCGACCACGGACATGGTCATTGTGAAGACTGTGGCAAGACGGGAAATGTTTGTAATGTACTGTTACACAGAAGTGCAGAACACACCATGCTACACGTACAGAAACAGCTATGGGTAAGTATGCATGTGGACAGGGACCAAGAGGGACTCAGAAAGTGAAAACAGTTGTGCTGGCGAGGCAGGAATGTAGATACGTTTCAGTCTCCTTAAATGGTGCTATGATAAATGTACGGACATAAAATAAAAACCAAATGAGAACCAAAGGGCGGTGGGGGTGGGGTGGTTCCATCCCTCCTGGCTCCCCTAAAGCTTGCC